TGATATCAGTTCTTTATGGCTCAATTTTAAGATTTTGTAATTTTAATAAATTATTTTATGAACAGTATAGAATATATATTTATATTCTATACTAGCTAATAATTTATCGATATTGAAATATAAATTTTTATAAAATTTTTCAGATAAGGCAAAATATAAAATGTAAAAAAATATATATTTCAACTTTCCATATTACTTTAAAGTCCACTTCGATCTCAAATTTATTATATTCTAGGCTTTTTATAATTTCACAAAATTTCACATTTGCTTATTAACATTTCTACTTTATTATCTTATAAATTTTTAGCATAAAAGTATATAAAAAGTATATAAAAAGTAATAAAATAACAATTAAGATATTGAAAAGAGAAAATTATCACTTATATTAATTAAATACACTTATATTCAATTGTTAAAAAATTAAATTTAATACTAGAAATTTCAAAAAGTGAGATTGTAATATTCACATATACATATTTGTTCTGTTTTAATTACTTGTGTCTTCAATCTTTTTATTTACACGAAAGCTTGCTCCAATTAACGAACACAAGCTTCTTGGAATCGACAAACATCGATTCGACGGTAATTTCATCGAACGTTATGCACCAAGTTAATTCCATCAAACGCATCGAGATCAAGCTTCGGGGAGGGTGTCTGGTAATTGTTACGGGTCCACTATTTGTAATTCATCGGTTCCGCGTGTCAAATTTTACAATGCAAGCCTCATTATATTTTCAACATAGGAACGCAAGCGTTCCTCCGCTCATCAATGCGTACCGTTGAAACAATTTATAACCCATGGTTCTCGGCATAGTATATATGCAGATTCATCGAACGATTGTTGTACTGTCGGCTATCAAAATGCAACGACGATGTTGCAGACCGCGACCCGCGTGCTGTCTCTCCGCTTTAATTAGCGTTACAATGATCGGGAAATCCCCGGTATCATAGTGATCGGTGTTGCGCGGATAATTACTAACCGTCGACCTTTCCCGCGTATCGTGACTGCAATTTCTGAATTTCCTATGGTGCCTCATTGTGGAAGGAAGAAAAACCGGTAATGGACGTTGTTCAACGATTAATCGAATTTCCGGATTTTCGCGCGCCATTGGGATATTTCATCCGTTCGTGCGTGTCGGGCATTTCGAATGAGCGAAACTGATGGAAGGAGACGGTTGATAATTCTTCTGTAATCGAAGCACGTTGTAAAATATGAGTTATGCGAAAAGTGAATTTATGATTTATCGAAACACGTGATGATGAATTATAGGAGAGGAGGACACATAGTTGGACTAATTTTTGTAATTCGTTTTCATGAAAAAATCAATTTTTTTTTGGTAAACCGAATTCATCATTATAATCCAAACTTCATATATGATAATTTTCGCCTTTCGAAACTAAAGAAACGCTTGAAAAGTAAATATTTCTTCATGTGATGAAACAGAAGTAATTTATCCTTAAAAAATCGTTTCGAGACTTTTTTTATGAACGAATATAAAAACTAATATAACGTTAACGAAAATGTATTGCAGTAAATGATGATTGTGTGTAGAAAAAAATTTTTTATTTTTAAATATATAATTTTAAAAATAAAGAATAAAGGTTTATTATTGTTTTCTAAAAATATTCTCTCTTCCTATTAATTTTTATTTAAATGAAAAAAAATTTTTTTTATTATCACGAATCACCTTTCGTGCTTAATTATAATCGAATTACTTGGAAACTTTGCTGGAATTAATTGATTGGATTTTTATGATTTTTTTAATACTGCGATCAACAAATTTCTCATTTCTCAATTACAATACTTGATGAAAGAAAAATGAATACATCCTATTTTCTTAAAATATTTTCATAATTTAAAGCAACGTTATTATCAAATATCTTTCTTTTAATATCTTCTATCTCTCTAATTAGAATTAATATATATTTTCATAATTTCTATTATATATATGGAGTTTAAAAAGCGAAGAAATAAAAATTACCATTATTATTTTTCCTATTTTTTAGAAATATTTTCACAAGTAAAACTATTAAAAACAATTTTTTTGATGTTTTTCCAATATAAACAAACATGAATATTACTATCTTATTCTATTTTTCTATAGTTTTTGATTTGTAAGTAACCAGCTTCCTATGCTGCACGGCATTCAATAAAAATTTTAGTGATATCATTAAGATTTTTCTTCACAATTGATAATCTAATAATTTTCAAACATGATCTTTTCTCAAATTCTAATTATTATATTCATCTATATATATACTTTTCATATCCTATATATACTTTAATAAATTTCTTTCTTTAAATTTCTTCCTTTCTGTTTAATACATTCTAAAGATTTTTCATATTAGATGATTTATGCGACAGTACAACGGCGAGAAATTTAAATAATAGCGTTATTATTCTTCCAAAAAGAAGATATATCGTAATACTCGAAATGAAAGCCATTCAAAATAGATCACAATAATAAATGGACTTTATCAGGGTTCAAGATAAATGTTTCTTGTAAAACACAAAGATTTTGATAAAAATTTTGCTCATTTTCAAACCCAACCCTCATTACCACTCGTATTTATATCAATGTGGCTGTTCTTCGCAGATTGGAATTATTCATCGTTCACTTCAAATCAATCTTAACTTGAAATTCCTGAACGATTTTAAGAAAACGGTATTGAGCATTTTGTCATTATGAATCTTCAAAAGATATTACTGAAGCGTGGGATATTAATTATTGGCGACACGATCTTCTAGTCGCAGTAAATTATGCGGCCGAGTCGAACTGAAACATTTTACTCTCCTTACTTGCCACAGGCTTTGCCGTGATAACTGGTAACCGTGTACCAGTAAGCGTCTTCCTTCGGGCATTCTCTGCCAATTTATTACCACCGCTAACGGTTACCGGGAACGATTTTGTTCGCCGGTTTCACGAATGAAACCACTTATCTCCGCCATGCAATAATTCCTCTTTTCTATAAGGCTACTTTAGGGCCGACTGATAGTGCTAACAAAGAAGCAGGGGAGGGTGAACATTTTGTTCTCGTTGCATCAGACCTTTCCCTTTCCAGGAATTTGCATCGACTTCTCAGAATCTCGAGTTTCGATAATTCAATGGCTAAGATGTAGTTAGCGAGAGATTAGAAATTCGCATAGAAAATTGATTTATTTGATTCATTTATTTAATGCATAAGATAGATTATTCAATGAAACTTAATATATTTAAATTAAGAAACTTTGATATTTGATTTCTTTATGTGATTTAATCATTAATTTTTTTTTAGAATTTTTTACCATTTAAATGATACAAAATATTGAAATGAAAGTGAAATTTCAGTTGTTATTTGAGAAATTTTTTAATCTTTTATTAAAATATTTATTGGAGATTGAAATATAATGCAAAGCTGAAAAATTGATTTGGAATATCTAATACAGAGCCAAAATACATTTCATATTTCACAATTTATATATTTATAATAAATTAATAAATATATAATAAAATATTTAGATAACAAATGTTTTCGTTATTATAATCAGATCTAAATTTTCCGAAGACAAACTTCTCAATAACTTCAGAATTGTACATATCTTAAATTTTTCTCTAATTATATCACAATAATTATGAACTTGCGAGCGAATATATCTTTGCTCACATAAAATAGCTCATCCAGTTAAGAAAATGAATCAATAAACACGAAAAAAATTTCAGATGAATATAATGAATCTAATAATAAAGAGTATTCCACCGATCCCACAAAAATAATCGGACAATAAAAAGGACAAAAGATTCGCAAAGAGCTAGCGAGCCAATGGCGACGTAATTTTATTGCGGAGCATAGTTCACGTATAATTAATTCCTCATGTAGACCAAAGTATGGCACAACTTTGCACTTCTAAGGAATTGCAGACTAGCGTGGCCTACAGGGCTGAAAGTAAAAGAGGAAGAGGGATACGGAAGTTCGGTAACTCACGAGTAGCTATGTCGAACGACGTGACGCGATACCTGGATGTGTTTTCGCGTACACGCTCGCTTGGCTGTTGCAGATAATTTTGCCGCTGTCTCGAGAAGTTCTGGTATCGCCGCAGGTGTTTACCTCGCGAACGGATCGAAAGGTTTCGCAGACATCCGATAGGCGACGCTCGAAAGATAGTTCGCTTCGCGCCTTTCGCGATTTCACGCCGCAACACTTGTCAAATTCCCTTCTCCTCATTGCATTCCATCATACGATGAATTCTTGTCGAAATTTGTTGTTCACTAATTATCATATAATAATAATTGGTGATAAGAATGATAATTAAATATTTTTAAAATATTTTTATGGATACAAGCTGAAAAATTAAAAAATTATATACAATTATACGAATTAATTTTTTGATATTAATGATAGATATTTATAAAACGATATATAAATAACAAAATTGAAAATATATCTATATATATAAGAATCATAAGTTATATATTAAAAAATATTAAATGTTACATTACATACATAATTAAGTTTATTGTACAATTATTCACTTGTACAATTATTATATTATATTATATATAATTATACATTAAATATATATATAATCAATATAAATCAATATAAATCTTGTATGATATAATAATATAATATTATTTCTTGAAGAAAATGTTATTTTTATTGATTACAGATTTTAAATTTAATCTAAAACATAAAAATAATAATAATTTTATATAATAGATAATATAATTTTATAATAATATATCAAAATTAGCTACTCGTGAAATCATTGAAGCATTTATCAATGAAATTAATATAATATAAAATCATTAATACCATTAAAATCTTATTCATAAAATTTTGAGATAAAATCGTATGAAATTATTTAGATTATATTTAATAGACTTTTAAAATATTGAAAAACATTTTTTAAATAAAATATTAATCATTTATTAGTATGATTAAATAATTAAAATTAAAATTTTTGTACAAAATTGATTTCATAATAAATTTTTAAATTAATTCTGTCTTTCTTATTTCAGACATGCTACGAGATGGAGAGGTACCTGAAGGACGAACCGAAACTGCAGTCGTACAAAAAGTTGCCCACAGAGTTAGATACAGCACCCTGGAATCTCTTCAGGCCTCCTATTTCGTGGACAGCGACCACTGGCACCGCCAACGCACAATTCGAATCACCAATCAAAATGGAGGTGAGTATCTACATCTAATAATAAAAAAACTTTTCGAGGTCGCTTTTCGAGTTCCATTCACTTTCAAACGTGTCTGGAACCACGTGTCAATGTCGTTTCTTTCTTTTTTCGCTGGTGATCGTGCGATGTAGGTGACGACGTCGTCGGAAGACAGAGAAACGCTCTGCTTGGACGATATTAAGTTCAGTCCTGGTGATCACAACCACAATGGCCGTGATAGGGATCTTCTGGACCGGCACCTCGATTCCTTGTCGATGTCGTCATCGAGTTCGGCGTGTTCTTGGGATAGTTCGCCTTCCGTTTCGTGCACGGCGTTCATTCTCAAGAAAGAGCCCAGCGAGGACCTCGAAGAGGACGAGGAGCACGAGGTGCGTCCTAGTCGGTTTTGCATGTTCATCCTTCGAATCTTTTGCTCCTCATTTTTTGCTTTAAACGAATTTATATATATATTTTTTCATATTTATACTAGAGATTTTTATTTTTTATGTATTAATGATGTCTTTACTTCAATATACATAATTTTTAGTATACATGATGATTCATCAGATATTATTTTTATTTTATGTCATTATTATTGATAGCAAAAAATTTTTCAATAATAGGTTTCGAGAAAAACACATTCTGATGTATTTTTCTTTAGATGAATATATAGAAGACATATGAAAACATATTAATGTTTTTTTAAATAGAATTATAATATTTTTTATTGTTTTAGTTGATACAACTTGATATTCTTTATTGAAAACTATTGCTTCTGTCAAAAAATCATTAGTTTAAAAGATATTTTAATTTAAAATTTGTTTATAAAATTTACTATATGAAAGATAAGGAAAATATGTACGATATTCTTTGTCTTTCATACGATAAATTTTATAAACTTTAAATTGTAATAAAATAAATATCTTCTAAACTAATGATTTTTAGATATAAAAGATGATATTTAAGTAAATATATTTTTTAAAGAATATTAAATTGTATCAACTGATGCAATAAAAAGTATGATTTCATTTAAAAAAAATATTAATGTCTTCTACGCATCTTCCAATAAGAAAAACTAGTAACATTAAAATATGTTCTTTCTGAAACCATTTAATTTCATAGGAAATATTTTTTGTTATGGATAATAACGGGCATGAAAATTGAGATGGTAATATGAACCATCCTATGTATTTGTGTATTATTTCAGATTTTTTGGATAAAATGCAAATTCGATTTAAATTTTTTCTATGACATATATAAAAATTCTTTAATTATTATTATCAAACATTTTTAATGCTCTAATTTAGCACAAAATATAATATATAAAAAAATTATCTATTTTTAAGAAATATAAATACATTAGTTTTCTATATAAAAATAGAATTGATATAAATAAATTTCAGAAATAGCATTAATAGAAAATGTAAATTAGTTTTTATATTCCAAAAATTAAAAAATTAAAAAATTTAAAATAAAGTATATCAATATTGATTTTGTTTAGTTAAAATATTTTAATTATTATAAAAATCTTGCATTTTTTATTTTCTAAAATATGGTACAATATTTAAAGATCGAGATATCTTTTAATTTTTAAATAAAATCTTATAAAGAAAGCTTATATGAATTTCATAGAGATTTAGAGATAATCTAATTTAAATATTTATCTTAAAAAAGATCTTATAAATAAAATGATAAATACTAGACAAAAGAAGAAGTGAGAAAAATTTTAATTAGAGAAGAATATAAAATCATAAGAATGAAATAAAATAAAACATGAAATAATACACAATTACATTTATACTAAAAATTATAGAGATTAAATACTTCTAATATACCATTAAATATCAATATAACGATATTTTTCAATAAGTTTCGAAATCAAAACTCGAATCAAATGATTAAATTCGTATTTCCATGAAAGTAACGTTCAAAATTAATTATTGCGAGTGGAATACATGTCGCGACAAGAACACCTGCGTTTATGGTTCTGCCCCACCCTTTTTCAGACAGCTATGTCGTTTAGCGGCGTACAATGCCCGTCAAATTTCAATTACCGTCAAACACCAGTGTTATATACAAATTACGATTCTTTCCATTTTCCGCCATGAGTCGCGTAAATCCTGTGTACCTTGTGTAATTCGTGCACACGTGTACACACACGCCACGCGTTTATGTACGTTGGATTGTATGTAATCCGTTTACGGGGTCATTTGGCATTGATCGATTCGTGTGGAGCAACGTTGGTATCGATGTTCGATATCGTTTTAACCAGTTGCTTGCACTTTAATCAGAGGCTCTCCCTTCCCTCCGTTATCGTAATCCCGTTGCGTAATGAATTACGTTACCGGCACCAGGAAATCGAGGAGGAAGAGGACAGCGGATGCGAAAGCGAAGGTCAAATCCTGACACCACCATCGAGTCCGGGCTCGGGTCAAGGTCATTCCAACTCCAGTCACTCGTCGAGCGGGAGTTCTATGCTCGATGTACAGAACCTCAACCTTCATGGGACGGGTGGCAGGAGCGCTATCGTCAGGGTTACCACTAGCAACGCACAGGGTGTCGCAAGGTAAATGAATTTCTTCTTTCCTTCTTTCTTTCAGATTCGCTGTTTTGAATATTATTATATTCTTAAAAAATATTGACACGTGTAATTAATCACAGAACACATATAAATTATATTAAATTATCAAAAGTAATTCTATTTTTAATTTTTCATTTTTATTGAAACTTTGTTTAATATAAAAAATAATGTAATTTCTTTTTAATAAAAGATCATTTCTTATGTTCTTGCATTTTTTCGTATCTTTAAATACATATAACTTAGTAATGTAAAGTATAGAAAAATTTTAATATGAAATTTAATATTATTACTATTCTGTTCTGTAGAAAGTATTAAGAAATTATATTTAAAACATGAAAATAGATTAAAATTTTAACAGTTTCATTTTGCTAATGAAATTATCCGTTAAAGATAAAATTACACATATAATCTATTACGTTCTACATATACAAAAATTTTTATTAAAATCAGAATTTCCAGATTAGGTTAATTTTCTTACGAGATATTGTGAAAAGACTTTTGTACCTATATATGTATGGATGTTTATATTGATTTATAAGATGTGAATAAGAATTAAATGTTCTAATAATAAGACTAAATATTTTAATATATATGAACAAGAATAGAAAAACCAAACGAATAATAAAATTAAGAAAATAATAATATAAATACAATTATAAATATGTAATATATAAAATATATAAATACTAAATATAATTATAAAATTATAAAAATAGAAACATTAAATATTGGTTAAAATAATATTATATAATATTGGTTAAAAATCTTATATCTAGTAGTTATATTTTTAATTATATTTTTTGTAAGAAGCTTATTCATTAATTCATTTATTCGTTAAATAAATAAATAATATGGTTTTCGAATTAGTTTCACTAATAACTTTAAGAGATTGTATTTATAGAATTAATAATAATTAATAACAGAATTAATAATAATATCGTGGTGAACTATTCATCGTTTGAAATAACATACATACATAACATACAGTCCAATATCGAGTTATTACGTTTTGCTTTACGAGGTGTTTTACAGGGTTGTATTTCGTAGAATTAATATTAATATGATAAAAGTGACTTTGAAATTAATTACTCTAAATAATTTTGCTCTGAAGGAGGAAAATATTTTTGAAAGATCGATAAAAAAAGAATTAATTAAAAATTTTATTCGAACAATATTCGAAAACTCCTCCCTCTCATATAAACAAATATATAATAATAAATGAAAATATGAACTTTTCTCGTAAACTTAAACAGTATATAAATACTATAAAAAAGTATTGTAACCAATATTTCTTTAACAGCTAACATTTTTTTGAATTATGGTTAATTATAATTTTTCTCAAACTTGTTAGATCGATTTATTTTAAATTTTAAAAAATTTTAAAAATTCTGAAATAATGAACAAAATTGTTACACGAAATATTTAAAATTTTCTTCAATAAAAATAAAAATTTATATTTCAGAAATATAACATTAGAATTTTCTTTCAATCTTTAGTAATCGAGATTACCTACAAGATTAAATTAAATTAATATCTTAATCTAATAATTAATACTTTTAATCGTGATTATAAATCACAAAACATTTTAAAAATTTTTATAAAAAATCCATTACAAAAATATTTCAAATTCAAATCATCGTACGAGATTAACTCATTAAAAAGTAAAAATCGGCCTTAAGTAAAAGTCATTTATAAAAAATTTCTTGACAATTCGAAATGCAGGAATGCAAAATATCTATATTGTTCTTCTTGCAGACTGATCTCCGTCACAGCGAATGGCTACCCCGCGGTTGCAGGCACGCAACATGCACATGCAGGGACAACTGCGGCTGCGAGCACCGTGGCTAATAGGCACCATGCGAGGAGCCACGAGCACAGTCCGCCTGATACGAAGCGCAGGATACACAAATGCCAATTTCCGGGTTGCAAGAAGGTATACACCAAGAGCTCACATCTGAAAGCTCATCAGAGGACGCACACAGGTAAGTTTTTAACTGTTCTCCAAGATAATATCGGTTGCCAACGATCGATTAGTTCTGATTAGAAGTTAAAAAAAAAAAAAAAAAAGGAAGAAAGAAGCGTAATGGCAAAAAGTTTGACGGAACAGACCAATCAATAGCATGTTGAAAACGAACTTTCGATTAACATTCCGCGAAGAATTTCTTCACCAAATAGTTTATTCTTCCTTTTTCATCGTCTAGATAACTGTTATTAATGAAGAATAATGAAGAATTGTGAAAGAATTCTTGAGACGAGTACCGTTAGATTATTCCTTTACAAGTTATTTATTTATTATTATTATTTATTATTCGTTGATCTTTAGACTAGATAAATTTGTAAAAAATTCCATTTGTGATAATAATCTATTTGATATGCAATGCAGATAGATATTGTAATTGCTTACATACATATTTAACATAAAATAACATAATTTCAGATTTTGGATATCACGTATATTATCTCTCTATCCATTTCACGCTAAAACATTTTTAATTAACATGACAAAATTCTATTTATATCTAAACATATGGAAAGATAGAATGATCCACGGCCATTTAGCTCTGAAACTGATGTTTAGAAAATTGAAGTTGAATATGATTATTTTATTTTTTTTTAATTAATATATGATTTTATTTAACTCTTTCTTCTTCAACATATATAAAGTATCACAAATCCATTACTTATTTTTATTATATGAACCAATCAAAACTTTTGTTGTTATTTAAATAATTTATTTTCCTAATAATTAATAATTGTCCGAAACATTTCTAAAAAAAAAAAACATAAAAAAAAATCATTATGACCGATTCACTATTAAAAATAAAAACAATTGATATAATTGAATTGTTACGTACATCCAATCTATTGTTACTATTTATTTTAAAATACAATTAAATAGAAATAAATAATAATATACATTTGCTACAAGAAATCGCAATTCATAATTTTTATTCCATTGAAATTAGAACAATAGAAACTTATTTAAAAATTTATGTATCATAAACTAAAAATTTACTTATTCGTATAAATAAATTCCTTAATTATATTTATTCACTATAATATAAAGTCATTCAAAAGTGAATCCAAATTCTTGAAGTTAGAATAATAAATATTCCTTAAAATTTATATATCAAAGTTTTTTCTTTCAACTTTTTTTTGATCAAATCTTTTTTTTTTTTTTCACAAATCCATGCATCTTACTGATGCAAATTTTCTATTCTTTTTGATATTTATATCTAAATATTTTTTATCCAAATACTTTTCTATGAATTTCTTTTTGCAAATGTATTTCTATCTTCACTCTTCATCCGAATCCTTTAAAAATAACACATTCAAAATAATTAACCAAATGTAAATCTTTGATCACCTGAATACTTAATGCACAATCATTACAAAAATCTTAAATTTACAATAAAATCTATAATTATAAAAACAAAAATAAATTTACATCGAAATTATTCAAACTCCAATTTTGATTTGAATTTTAAGTGATAATAAAAATGATTCAATCTCAATCTAATTATCAACTTATTCAAACAAATTTATCATATAGATTTTTTTTTTTCTAAGTAATCGGATTCATTAATTCCTCTCAATGACCGGTAAATAAGAAATCCTTCTATTCTTCGTATTTTTACCAACATTCATCATTTCTTTCCGCAATTAAGATAACGCACGTATTCAATTATCGAATACACCGCGTTGCTCATTAATAAACGTTACACCATACGTCTGTCTCCGCGCGATATCGCTCGGTAATTTCGCGCGCTTCACGCGACACCGCGCGCCCTTTCTTCGCAATTCAGTTAATCGTTAGTCACGCGATTATCCCCGACGTTTGTCGGTGGAGGGGAACGAACGAGAAACAATCGCGAACGTATCCCGTTGAGCGGCAGGGGATAAATTTCCCGACGCGTTCCCTGCCTCCCTTATCGCGGCAAATAACAATGTATAATTAATTACGAAGCTGAATTAAGGGAGGTTGTGCTCGGGCTTGTACCACGGCTTGGTTACTCGATTCGTATACGCGGCCGGATGAATGCACAAGGCCCACGTGCGCGAAACCGGATGATACATGTTTAATAGCATCGAAGGCAATCTCTATTCCTCTTGTTTTCTTCGATCAATGAAAGGAAAGGGGAATATACGTTGTTTGCTGCTTCGTATTAAACTTAAGTTGCGCTTATCTCTTGATGAGAATGTAACCGCTTCTGCGGTAAAGGATGTTCGCTTTAATCGGATTTCGATACGATAATTGGTTTTATTTATCTTCTTTGAGGAGTGAAATATTACATGATTTTCAGAGGTTATGATTTTGTTGTTTTGTAGTGAAAAAAGAAGGAGGTTGAGAGATATGAGTTTTATGAAATTGTTGATGAATCGGTTTCTATAATTTGCTTTCTTAATGTATATAGATATATTATTATGAAACTTATTCACGAAAACTAATTACGTTCTTGTATTTCGATATCGTATAAATTGATTTTATTTATCTTGCTGTAGAATAGTAGTAATTATTACGAGATGACTTTAGAGACTGATATTTTTGTTCAGATTGAAATTGTTTCTTTAATAAATGATATGTTTTTTTAAATTTTTGTTTGAGAATTGAATGTAAATATTTTGTGTATTCGTCAATATTATTTTTCGAATACGTAAATTAATTGTTTGCCAAAATAACTTTTGTTATTTTTAAATATACAGTATATTCTTAATATAAGAATAACAAAGAATATAAGAATATATTATAAATTTCTTTATAATATGAAAAAAATAATTGATACCATATTTATTTTTATATGTAAAATTAATTTATTCGATATCATTTAATAATAAGTATCAATGATTTTTTAACGTATATTATAACGTTATTATTATGAATGATTCATCGTAATAAACATCGATTTCGATAATCCAAAAATAATTCAAGTTTTTTTATACAATTCCATCACAATCGTAACTAATTGAAAACCGCATAATATTCGAATGAATATTCTAAAAATTAATCCTCAAAATATCCTATTTCTCCGTTTCATTCAAATATTCAATGTAAAAATACGAACTGAATATAAGAGATATCGAATATTTCTAACGTAAATGTAAATGTTTACATAAGTATTGCATCACTTTGACTAAGAAACAGACTGAACACATTATTACCATGTTATCGTTTCATTCGCAGTTGGTTTCAACAGCAGGTGACGACGAAAGATTGTAATTAATGAAGATTCTCTTTTTCTCTTCCCTCAATCCTTTTTTCCTCTTTCTCTTTCCATCTATGGTTTTTGTCACGTCACGCCTCCTGAAACCATTCGGTGAGCAGATACGCGTTCAGGTGTATACACGCATAATTATCCATGTGCTTCGAACAGTTTTACCCTCACGAAATCACGTCTCATGTTCGTGACTCACAACTGTAGGCTATTTTTGTGGAAGTTATGGCGGAAATACAGGTGTGGAATATATGAATGTTGATTTTGAATGTTTCTTTCCTTTATCTTCTGATCGATATAAATTTTCATTAGTAACTTTAGTTTAATTCTTATGCTAATATTTGAAAATAAAAGATAACATTAAAAAATAAAATTGTGTCCTTTATATTCAGGGCACAATTTCATTTTTGAATTCTTTTGAAGGAATTTTTATTTAATTAAAGATAGATTATTTGATATTTATCTGCATTAATAATTGTATGAAGTAGAAATTTCATTAGATATTTTAGAATATTTTTAGATTTCTTGAACAAAAAAAAAAAAATAATTCGTTGACATAAATGACACAGATTGTAAGAAAAATATTCTTGCAAGAAGGTTAAGATATAATTTTTTTTTTCAAAAGATTCTAATTTCTAATTGAATCAAATCTAAATGGATAATTATTATTTACATTTTACATTATCATTAAATAATTGAAATTAAAAATCGTATAATTTGAATAGTGAAAAGAAATTGGATATTTAGGAATATTCTTTTGAAACTAGACTTGTCATAATTCTTTGAGAAATTTTATTTATTTTCATATATTAATAGAATACAACAACAAATTAATAAGATATCCATTCGTGAAATGCGATTTCTATTTCAACTTAAAATCATACTTCAAAATGACATATTTGAAACTGTCAAACTGTCAATCGAAAATGGAATGAAGCGAAATGGAAGTAAAATTAGTCGAATTCGATTCGACATAAATTCTTCCACGATAAAATACACCATTGACGTGGCCGTCAAATATTTAACCACGCGATACATTTCCATGCGTCGTGTCTTTCATAAATTTATCTCGAAATCCGTTCTATCATTACATCGTATCCTAGCCATGTTTCGCCTTCGGGCACAGACGCTCTCATCCTCATAATATCGTACGTACAGGTGATTAAGCGTGTATATGTGTCCACATATATTTGCTCACGTGAATAGTTACACGTGCGCATACGGCTGTCTTCATATGTGTTTATTTACCTATCCGCATGTGCACATCTGCATCCACGTTACCAGTGTCTATAGGAAGGCACACAGATGTGTAATTTCAGTCTCTGTATTAGGGTGGATGAACTAGCGAGAATATTCCTAGAGAAAGATATGAGAATAGAAGAGGAAGAAGGAAGAGAATTGCGAAGGAATAAAAGATGGAGAGGAAGAGAAAATATGAGATGGTATATAGGATGATTCGAAAGTAAAATTGAATTTTGAATGCACTTTTAAAGAAATATATCTCTTTTTCGTGAAATACATCTCAAACTATAATACATTTATTATACTAAATTATAATACATATATTATAATAATTCCTTTACAAAAAAAATCACGAAACAATGTAATTCTGCGTGATTAAGATTTGATAAAAGAAATTTTTTTTTCCTTGAAGAATTGAATAATATGAAATATAAATGTATGCTGTTTTATTAAATTTGTTTATTAAGTTAATATTGAATTCTTTAATATATGTTATTAAAATTTATATTATGAAAATGATCTTTATT